CAGGGAAACGGACCGAAACGGAGCATGAGGTAGCGACGGGTAGCAATGCACCGTGGGCCAGAAGACCGGCCAAAACTCTAGACGCGTTTTGAGCTCTTAAGTCTCTAAACAGGGCTCAAATCGAGCGTGTGACCCCACCAATGGATTCCTCTTTCGGAGAGCAATCCATTGGTGGGGTCGTACGTTCGGTTCGAGTCCCATTTAGCGACTCTGAAGCTCAAAACGCCCCGTGTGGCCCGGGACCTGGTAAAGATGGTGTTATTTTGGCGTTCTTCGGACTCCAAATGTACTTCAAATTAACACCAAAAACATAGAACTGGAGCCCAATCTTGTTTCTATAAACATGACGGAACCTGTAATGGTCTGCTACACTGTACGAGTACATGTTTATAGAAACAAGATTGGGCTCCAGCCGCGGGGATTCGGGCTAAGTCCGAGCGCGGCACAACGCACGACATATAGCTGCCGTGCGGCTCATCTTCTCGGAGTCGCTCTGGCCAAGCGGTTCCGCACGAAACTGCCGTGTCGCAGATCTGGGGATCAACACCTGCCGTCTCTCTTTTGTCATTTTTCTCTATGGCTGTCCTCTGCTTTGGTATTATTATGGCGTTCTTTTGGTGAAAAAACGAGCCATTTTACACTAAAAAAACTCCATAATAACGCCGCGTTGACACCAAATGCATTTGATGTAATTACGGAGTTATTTTAGCGTGCTTTTATGGTGTCCTTTTGGTGTTAATTTAAAGTACATTTGGAGTCCGAAGAACGCCAAAATAACACCATCTTTACCAGGTCTCGGGCCACACGGGGCGTCCGGGATTTTGACTGCCTGCGACCGGTCCTCTGGCCCACTGTGCGATGCGTCACGCGAACCTGCTCGTCTGCCAGCCCGGCAGTGCCTGCATCCTTTCTGGCAGTGCTCGTCGGCCGGGCTGGCTCGATCCGCGGCCCGACCAGCCGTACAATTTCTTTCGAAATCAACGATCAAACGCGAGTGCGTCATTGGGTTACGCTATACCACCGGGGGGAAGAGGAAAAGGCGTGCTCACACACACACACACACACACACACACGTGTGCACGCATATGCACGTGTATACACACCCGCGCGCGCACAAAGAAAACAGAGCCGACCCAGACAACGGGAACAAAAGACTCGCCTCTGTGCGCCAATACTTCCATTTGCAATATTTCTGGCCGCGCCACAGAGACCCCACAGAGACAGCGCACCAGGCGGGGCCTGGCGGGGCATGGTGGGGCATGGCGGGGCCTGGCGGGGCATGGTGGGGGGCTGCATTGGTGAACGGGCAATCAGAACGCTTGTCCCCGGCCCCGCCGCATCCCCCCTCTCCCCCTGACGGCAGCGTGATACGCATGATAACGCCCCTGGCTCCGCCGGCTCGGCCTGCCCGGCCTGCCCCGCGGTGGCCGCGGTGGACGTGCCGAGAGCGGCCTGGCAGCCTGGCGAGGCCGGGGCGGCAAAGGCCGACAAAGGCCGGGAAACCGCGAAACTATTCCATAATCGTCATCCGGGAGGTAAATGCCGAATCGACCGGAATGGAATGGAATGCAAGGGGCGCGATGACGCCTCGTCTCTTCGCCATCGTGGCGACCAGACTGCAGCCTGGTTCTGAGAGTCGATTTCGACTCGTGACCTCGCTCGCTCACGTGGCGCGTACCCCGAATAGGTGTGCGAGAGAGACGGAGCGCTTTCTCGGTATCGCTCTGCTGGCCCACGCTGTATGAGACCGCGGCCAGCGTTCAACCTCACTGTCGTCAACGCGTCAGCGCGGCTCTACTGGGCAGGGCCAGCCAGCACGCCAGGCAGCCAGTCACCCCAGCCAGCCCCTGCCTCCAGCCAAGCCTCCAGCACGCCTCAAACTCCAGCCTCCAGCAGCAGCAGCCCTTCCACACGCTTCCAGGATCAGGCCTTTTCATTTCCCTGCCATTCCTTCCAGGACATGACTCCCGTGCCGGCGGCGCGTGTTTGCCTCTTTGGTGCCTACCCCTTCCCCCTCCCCCTTCCCCCTCCCCCTTCCCCCCCCCTTCCCCCTCCCCCTTCCCCCTCCCCTCGCCTCCATATTGCCCACTCCGAAAGGGTCTATCCCGCTCATCTGCCACGCGGGCCTCCCCCTTGATATGACATTTTGTTTGCTTAGGCCGCCGCGTGTCGCGCGGGGGCGTGGCGTGGCGCGGCGTGGCGTGGCGTGGCGTGGCGTGGCGTGGCGTCGCGAGGCGTGGCGTCGGTTTGACGTCGCGAGGGACGTGGCCGACGCGGCGCGGCTCGGCACGGCGCGGCGTGTGTATTTTTCAAGATTCCCACGTGCGCTGCCGGTCGTTGAGCGCGACGTGCGACACGCGGGAAAACGGTAAAAGCGTCAGGGAGAGGGGAGTGGGGGGTGGGGGCGGGGTGTCTCCAGCGGGGCCAGCTCCGCGGCGTCAAGGACGTCAAGGACCTGCAGGGGGCGCGGCGGTGTAGGCACGAAGCACGGCGCGCCTGCAATAACTCACGCAGCGCAGCGACGGACACGCGGACCGGGGGAACGGACGAAACGGACGGAACGGAACAGAACGAGGTGAAACGGAAGACTGCAACAGCAGCGGCCCGCCACATGCAAATGCACGCCGCGTCGTGAAAATTTTTTCTCCGCCTTCCGCCACAGCCAGGCGGTCTGTCTTGCCCCCGGTCGCCCTCCCGCTGGCGCACGCTGGAGACCGATTCCGAGAATCGTCTTCGTCGCTCTGTCTCTCTCGCAGAGAGCGACGAATCAGTCCCTCCAGGAAGCACGCTGGAGCCTCCAGCAGCTCCGCCACGCCGCGCTGGCATGCCAAAGAGCAGCGGCCGGGCCGGCCTTGCCGAGGGGGGGGGGGGGGGGGGGAGGGCAGACTGGAGTGCGAAATATGGCCAGGTTTGGCGGCGTGGCACGAGGCTAAACGAGGGGATTCGCGGGGCAGGTGTGTGTGTGTGTGTGTGTGTGTGTGTGTGTGTGTGTGTGCGCGCGCGCGCGCGCGTGCGGGTGGTGTCGGTGTGTGCGAATGTGATAGGCACTTCCCCGCCGCTGCCTGATCCCCCATCCCCACCGCCGCACACCCTTTCGCAATATTTAGCGCGCGGCGTGGCGCGGCGCGATTTATGAAGCGGGGAGTATCTCCGCGCCGCCATCTCGAGACGCACGCCTCGAGAAAGAAAAGGCGCGGGAAAGAGGCGGATGTAAACACGGCGCATTATGCCGCCAATGGATGGTGTTGTTACTGTGCGGCGCGCCCCCCGCGACGACATCCGATTAGGGGAACCAGGCCGCCCGGCCCGGCGGCAGACTCATTCCCAGAGTCGTTGTCGTCGCGCTGTCTCCCTCGCACTCATGGACCGCCCCGTCATGAAGGCGCGAGGGAGACAGAGCGACGAACGCGACTCTCAGTCTGCAGTGTAGCGACACGGCGGCGGTTCCGCCCGCACCCTGCAGGGGGCGGTACTGGTCGAAGCAGCCTCCGCTGGAAGTGCCCGACGGCGGCGCTACCCCTTGCTCGGCTCGGCGCGGGGTATACGCGCCGCGGGCGAAGGTTGTGCAGCAGGCAACAAGTCAATGCTCAACGAGACGATTGAGAATGTGTATCGCGTGTAATGCATTTGCTTGAATAACTTGGCATACTTGTGACACGAGCTGTCACACTCGAGCTGCATGCTTGGGAGCACATTTGCTGAGTTAATTTTTCCGAGTGTGGTCATGTTCTGGGCTCATATCCGTCGTCCGAACAGCAGTCGTTAGCACCATTCGTGTGAACCCACCAATGGATTGCTCTCCGAACGAGGAATCCATTGGCGGGGTCACACGTTCGGTTCGAGTCTTGTTTTGCGACTCTAGAGCTCGAAACGCGTCCAGAGCTTCGGCCGCCACCCGGTCTTCTAGCCCACTGTGAGTCGTCGCTACCCCCGACGCTGGCGAGGCGCTGGCGAGGCGCAGCCTGGTGCCGGCTGCCCCCGCGTGATGGCGCCAGGGCGGCCGTTGGAGGCCGTGATCCTCGCCACGTCGGCGGCAGCACGCGCGTCTCGGCGGCACGTCGCGGGACAGCGGGCCGCCGCCGAAAAGGGACAGTCGTCGCCGTCTCTCTCGCACCGCGTCGGCAAGATCCCGCGAGTGCGAGAGAGACAGAGCGCGCGTCTATTCGGCATCAGCCTGCAGGGCTGCATAATGAGGCATCGGCCGGTTCATTCAGACTAACGATGTGTGCGGAGCGGTGCGGAGCGGCAGGGATTTAGAGGAGCCGGCCGGAAGACGCGGATTTAAATTTTCAGTTTTATAGTGTGGCTCACATTTTATTCTCAGGCATTATCTTTTCTTCGTGCACATTTCGTCCAAAAAAGCATACATCCTCACTACACGTAAACGCTCTGCTAGCTAGTGTACACAAACCGCGCGAAGCAATATCACCTTATCAACAACAGTAATAAACGATAATTTCTGATAATTTTTTTTTCTGGTTGGAGCCAAACTGACACAAAGTAAGACACTTATTCGACAGTTTCCGCAGTGTCAACAACTGCCCTACTTTTGAGCTTGTGGGTCCGGTTCTATAGCACAGATAAGTACTTTGATGGCGTTCGATGTCTTTTCCTTTCCCTCACTTTCTGCCCCCATTTCTTCGTCGCGAAATAAGTAGTGTGCCTTTATGGCGCAAACGGCCCGGCCCGGCAGTGTGTCTCGTGGACCGCTTTGTCGGGCACATCTTGAAAGGAAGGCCGGCCCCAGGGCGGGCTGATTCCGAGAGTAATTTCCGTCGCTCTGTCTCTCTCGCTCTCAACAGGGGGTATGGCGAACGACTCTCGGAATATAAGTCTGCAGGTACCAGGGGTCCGGCACACTGCAGCACGCTCCCCCGCATTAAACACACGTGTCTTTGTTGTTGTTGGACAAACAACAACGAAAGTCACCGCTTATTCGCGGGCACGGAGGCGGGATCGTCGGGGCGCCGCGTCGTCGCGCAGGTGTCGCCGGCGGGCAGTCACAGCGCCGTGCTCTGTGGCGGCCGCACGCCGGGGGCGGAGGTTCCGGGGGCGGCGGGGGCGGTGGAGGCGGCCGCGGTGGCGGACCCGTTCCCGTTGGAGACGGCCGCCCTACTGGGACGTGCGGTCGCGGTGCCTGCGGCGGGGCTGGCCTTGGGGCTGGCCGCCGACGGCACCCCGTTTGCAGCAGGTGCCCTCGGCGCAAAGCCGTTCGGCAGGGCGCTGGAAGCAAAAAAAAAGAGTTCATCAATCCAACAAACCGAGCCGATATCAATTTTTGAAACAAGCGTTTTCCTTGCCGCTCTATTCATCAGTGTCCAAGCTTACTGACCCTTTGGCCGTGGACGCGTTGGGCGAGGCCGGCGAGGCGTTGTTGGAGCCCTTGAAGGCCCAGGGCGCGACGAACAGCTGCCGGAAGGTCTGGCGGTACTGGCGGCTCATGGCGCAGTACAGGATGAAGTTGATGGAGCCGTTGAGGAGCGCCAGCAGGTCCAGCGCCTCGCCGAACAGCTGGTAGCAGCGCCGGAAGAAGCAGCGGCCCAGGATGCCGCTCATGAGGCCCAGCACGCCCTGCGGCAACCAGCGTCACATTCGGTGAGTAATAGTAATCGCCCGGCTGCAGTGGGAGCGCCTGCGAGACTCGGGGTAGGCAACGCGGCGGGCACGGGCGCCGGGCGGGCTTGCCTATCCTCCCTTCTGCAGGCGCTACAGGTCTGCAGCGAGAGAGAGAGAGAGAGAGAGAGAGAGAGAGAGAGAGAGAGAGGGGGGGGGGGAATGTCCGCCTCGCTGTTGAGCGGCATCTTGCTCCAAATTAACCTGCGATTCGCAAATCGGAGCGCTAGAACGCGGCATCTTTTCCCGTCGGGAAGCCGCATTTATTTGCAGACGGACTCCGGCGCGGCGCTACGCGGCGCTACGCGGCGCTACGCGGCGCTGCAGCCTCGGGCAGTACACTGGGGGACAAACAAAACGCCGCGCTGCTCCGCACCCACGGCACGCTTTGCACGCCTCGCGCCTCGTGTCCTTGCTCAGCAAAACAGGACGAGAAGGACATGGAGCTGCTTCAAAAACCGGGGAGGGGGGAAGGGATGTGTTATGGTGTACAACCTTGGGGGATATTTTGGGACCTTCACACGTTGACAACAACAACGAGCAAACTGCCCGCAGGTGGAACTTTACGCGGAAAAATATGGCAACAATGGAACGAGAGAGTCTTTTGCGGAGCGGAATCGGCGGGGAGTCGAACCCGGGAGCCAGGCCACTGGAGGCGGCACGAGTCGTGCTTGCTTTGTGCCGGGGACAGGCTTTACCTTGGGTCGCGGTTTGCTCGGCGCCGCTTGCTCTCGGTTTGGGGCCGTGGCGGCCGGGGCCCCGACCAGGCCGCGCGCGCGGGTTTTGATCCGGACGACGATGTAAAGGACGAATGCGATATAAAAGCGGCACTGCTCAATGCACACACGCGCGCCACCGTAAAAACGTTCTCGTTCGAAAAAGGAAAAATGCTCTCTCCCCCCCCCTCTCTCTCTCTCTCTCTCTCTCTCTCTCTCTCTCTCTCTTCTCTCTCTCTCTCTTTCCCTGGAATCCCGCCCATGCGACGTGCAGCTCGCTCGCTGGAAACGGTATAAAGACCGGGGTGAAATTTGTCCAGTTCCCTCCGCCTGTCCCCCCCTCCCCTTTTCGTTCATCCCGGTCCCCTTCAGCTCGTGCACATGTCGTGACGAGGCACCCGGAAAAACGGAATGCACTTCGTTACTCCGCGCTCCAGTCTCCACCTCTGGCGCCACAAATTTCCTCGTTTCAACAACAGTTTTTTTTTTTTCATATTCAATTTCAGAAATTTTACTTATTTTGTGCGTGTGCATGACGCCCGTCACGCGAACCGTTTAAGTGAGAGATGTGGTCAGCCAAAATTGAAATTTCGCTCGGATGTTCAAAACATTTGCTCGGTCCGCCCCGGTACGAGGAAACGACGAGTCGGCCACGTGCAACACGGGGCGCCGAGAGTCCCAAGAGGCGCGGCAGCCACGAGACGCAAAGCAGTGTCGGGTACGTGGCCGAAAGCTGCTCAGCATGTCGACAACAGTTGCCAGCACCCTTGGCAAGGGATTTTGGACGGGGCGAGGCGCAGCAGGTCTGCGCGCTAGTTCTGGTGTGGGTGCCGCGCCGCCACGCTCCGCCCACGCCGCACCGTCTGCTGGCTCAGGTTGGCTGCAGCTTTGGCTGGAATGCCAGCGCGCCCCGGCGGGACTGCTTCGCTAAGTGGCAGCCAGTGGCAGCCAGTGGCAGCGCCCGGCCCGGCGGCCGGTCGGACCGCAGGGCTGGGGGCAGGACGACGGGGCCGGGGCGGGCCCTGCCCTGCGAGACACCGACTAGGGAGGCAGAGCTCTAAACTTTGGCGTCCAGCTTTCGCGCCAAGAATTTAATCAAAAAAATATTTTTGCTGACACACCCACACACATGTATATATACATACACAAACACACACGCACGAACACTGCTTGGTGCGGTCCTGGCAGTTGGAGGGACGGAAATTCGTGAGTAAGACGAGGGGGGGTCGGGGTCCGGTGGTGGGGGAGAGAGAGAGGAGGGGGGGGGGTGCGAAGGGGTGGTAAGATGGGAGACAGTGAGCGCAAAGCCTTAAGAAGTCGGCGTCGTTTCATGAGAGCACACTGGAAAATGGGAGCCAGCTGAAGAGGGGGACAAAATGAAAATATATAAAGTTTGCCTTTTTCCAAAAAGTTTTTTTCGGCTTCAGTTTTAAATTGGTCAAATGTCGTCCAAGCTTATTTCAGTCACCCCAAGAAAAAGTTAAGCCATTTGAACAGAATAAATTTTGAGAGGAAAAAAAAGGAAGAAAATTGGTTACTTGCTGCTGACAGACTGTGTGCCAGTGCTCTTCTCCCTGCCCACAGCCACGACACGGACGCGACACATCCCAGTCGGGCGCGGCGAGAGCTCCCCCTTCCGAAACACGCTTCAGTACGTTGCCGCGCCGACTTCCAACGCGCGAGAACCCTGGCTCCACGCGCTCGCCACCTAACTTTAAATTATTCTGCGTGTTTGACTACGCGGTTGGCATGGGCAGGTGCCGAAGGAGAGAGAGAGAGGGGGGGGGGGGAATTCTGGTCAATAGAGCCACCACGCGTCTGCTCCACTTACAAGCGGGCAAGCCGTCAAACACAAATACCATCAAACGGCACAGCGCATACGGTGGCGCGTGGCTAGGCGTGGCTCTAGGCGTGGCTAGGCGTTGCTAGGCCTAGGCTTCTCGTCTAGGACAGCTTGATGTAGTGCCTGCAGCTGGCCGCTGCGGCACAAGGCGGGTATACACCGCAAAGACTGCTAAACCGATCTGGCGCGCCGCGCGCCGGTGCTGCGGGCTTGCCTGACCTCACGCCAGATCGGTGACGGTAACGTATCGGATTGTTTTTACAGTGGCTGCTGAAAATCCGGCAATGCTCCGATTCCGGAAGAGAACGGTATCAATCGGACCAAATCTCAATCAGAAATCTTTTTTCTTTTTTTCTGAGGTGCGGGACCGTGACCACGGTCCTCTGCTCTGTTCTCTCGGGCCGAGCGGACAGTTTGCGGCCTTTTCAATTTCTCGAAGAGAAGTCGTCACAGTCCTTTTCCGAAGGCCACAGGGCCCACAGGGGGCAGCCCTGGGCAGCCCTGGGGAGCCCTGGGGAGCGCCAGGATAAAGGATCTAGGACTCTACACGACGAGTGTGAGAGTGCGAGAGAGACGTCGAATTGGTTTCCGCCACCGGATCCCGCCGGCTCTGTTGTTCCTATGAGAGGCGAAGCTCTTGATCCGAAAGCAACGCCGGCCGCCGATATTCGCGGTGTAGCGGCAGTAGCGGTGTGGTGGCGGGGAAATCCACGCCGCCATAGCCGTGTCGTCCGAGGCCGTGTCTCTGGACACGCTGCGAAACGGCGGCAACGACACCCGCCGTGATGGGTGCTGCAATACTGGGCGATCACGAGTGAATGGCCACCATGACGGCTGCGCTGGGCAAACATCATCGCGACTCCTGCAGCCGTCGCGCGGTTCCGCTTTTCGCTCTGTCTCTCCCTCTCCCTCGCACCCTGACGGCACACTCCATGAGCGCGAGAGAGACAGAGAGCGGGCAGCGGCAACGCTCGGCAAGACACACATCATCGCGACTCAGGCCCTCGGCTGCCCTCGGCGCGGCTGGGCCTCCGCTTCGCTTTGTCTCGGCCGGCTCTCCCCCAAGGCCACCTGCCCTCCGGCCGAGGCCGAGCCGGCCGAGCCGCGGCCCGGAATGCCGGAACGACCTGTGGAGTCGGCGGAGGGGGGAGGGGGGAGAAAAGGGGAAAGAGAGGGGGGCTCGTCACTGCCCGCAGCTGTTGATTCACACCAAAGTGGGGCTGCTACCCGATAGCCGATCGCTTTTCATTCGCTGGAACTCTGGAACTGCCATTGTGCGGCGGGCGCGGCTCGGCCAGAGGAGCAGCTTCTGCCTCTGTCGCACTCACGGGGCGTCCCGGTGGCGGCGAGAGGGAGGGAGAGAGAGCGACGAAACGGCTGCCCGCAAATCAATGGCCTGGCATAAACTAGGGGCCGCTGATGTGGCAGAGACAGCCGGCGGGTCGGCCCGGTCGGACGCGGCAAAGTCAAGGGGCAAAGTTGTGCAATATCGGCGGGACGTGGGTCAGCCGAGCCGCGGGCCGCGAGTGGGAGGGGGCGCCACACCTGAACTCAGTTGGATACACTACAGTGGACAGGGGATAGTGGAAACGGGGGTTAGTGGAAACAAGTGGGTGGTGGAAGCAAAGTGGATAGTGAAGTGTATAGTAAAAACAGTTGGATGAAGTGGAAGAAGAAGTGGAAACAGCGGATACAGTGGATACACTTCATCCCGATCGCCACCAACGCCACCGCGTTTTTGGTCCTCTTTTTCCGCGGCCATGTTTCATGCACGGTGGAGCCATTCTTATTGGCAGGTTGGAGAGGAATGTGACGGGGCGGCGTGGGACGGGGAGCGATCGAGGAAAGGGAAGGGAAGGAAAGGGGGCCCGCAATCAAAAAATGCCGTGTCCTATTGGAGCCGAGCCCGGCACCCCGATCGGGCGAGCAGTGTTCGCGCGCGTTCGGGCGCGTTCGGCTGTCGGGACAGGAAGACAGAGATTATCGGGAACTCCATCTTCACATCCTCGCCCGCCCTCCAGTCTCCAGTCACCAGGAATAAGCGGCGAAGCGGCGTCTGGGCCACTAATAAATCATGCCGGTTCGTCTCTCTCTCTCTCTCTCTCTCTCTCTCTCTCTCTCTCTCTCTCTCTCTCTCTCTCTCTCTCTCTCTCTCTCTCCTCTCCTCTCCTTTCATGCCAGGTCTTACCTTGTCCCCGCGTGCGACAGAAGGGACACCAGTGATTGTTCTAACAAAGAGTAATTTCTGTGGGGTCCAAGGACTTTTTACTTCTCCCTTTTGCTTTCTCGTCTTGCTCGTCTTATTCGTTCTGCACTCTGAAAATCTTGGAAACAATTTTTGGCCTGACTTGTTATAACAAAGTATATTGAGCATACATAAGCTTACAAAGAAAATACTTGGTGATTTACGAACTTCGTGTGACAAAAATTAGTTTGTACTATGCTCTGAATACTTGGTAAGGTTTTGAGCGTGTGCTCGTCCTGCTCGTCCTCCCCGTCCTCGCCGTCCATCTCCGCGGCATCCGGGCGCAGCGTGCCTCTGCATAGCGCCGTGCACCGCCCAAGGCACCGCCGGACGCATATAAAACAAGGCGCCTGTCAGGCCGGGCCGGGCCGAGCCGGCGCGACGACGGCCACGTTATGGACGGACGGCGCGGCCGGCCGGACAGACGGACAGACAGACGGGATGGACAGCACGGCCGGTGGCGCGAATTCCGTAAAGGGTTCGGCTTCCTCGCCGGCAAGGTGGTTGCGTGGGAGGGGGAAGGGGTGTCCTTTGCGGGGGTCGCTGGAACGAGGCTAGTCGTGGGCGTTCGCTCTCACACGGTCCGCTTGTTGTGACGCGTCTTTTTTTTCGATTTTCCCAGCGGTGTTGTTTTTATTTTGACGGACGAGCAGAGGCTACGACGCCACTTGACGGACGGATTCCTCCTCCTCCCCTCCTCCTCCTCCTCCTCCTCCCCCCTTGCTTACAGGGCGCAGGAAGGCTTCCTGCCGGCTTACCTGCGGCACCTCGGTGGCCAGGAAGAGGAACAGCACGGCGAGCAGCATGCGCGTGGTGCGGTCGGCGCGCTTCTCGGCCCTGGAGCGGCGCGCGCTGGGCTGCACCTGCTGCTTGGCGGGCTTGGCCGAGGCCGGGGCCAAGGCCTGCGCCTGCTGCCCGCTCAGCTTCTTCTTGCGCTGCTTGGCCGTGTACAGGGCGTTCATCAGCGAGATACTGTCGACACACAGCAGTGATTAATCCGCGCGCCTAACGCGCCGAGCCAGCTGGCCGCTTCCGTCGCCCTGTCTCCCTCGCACCTGTACGCGACGCCCCGTGAGAGTGAGCGAGACAGGGCGACGGAAGCGGCTCTCGGAGTTGGCCTGCTAGTCGTAGTCCGCCGGACATAACTCGCTTGTCACCGGACGTAACAGTGTATCTCCGAGGGATTTCCTTCCCCACGCGACACATGCCTTTTCCGTCCGTTCACCGTCTAGCTCTCCGTTTGGAGCTGAGACCTGAGAATGAGGACTCGAATGGACTGCTCGGGTGAAACTACAGCTTGGCGTACTCCTGCCCTCAAAAGCGTTAAATCTAGCGTTACTATTAGTTTTGTCACACTGGAAATTTAAGGTGCAATGACACACTTTTATTGGATTTTCAGCCCACCAGGGCAGTTCTCCAACTAGAGACTTGGTCGGGTAGTTGCCCACATGCATCCGCAGCACTTCCCTGCATGTCGAGGGCAGTGCTGCGGATGCATGATGTCGCGCGCCACGCATGGCCCGCCATGTTAATGACGCTTCAACTTTGGCGCAGTTCCGTCCGCGCTCGGAATTTTAAAGAGCCGCGCTCCGAGAAGCGCTCCGAATTAACAGAGTGAACAGGAAAGAGGAAAAGCCTGCGCGGAAGGAGCTGCCCCACGCCACGCTCTAGGCGCTCGGCTCAGCTCTCTTTTTAAAAAAAAGACAGAAAAAAGAGACAGGAAAAAATGCTTCGTTTTTGTCCCACACTTTGTGTTGGTCTTTGTTTTGTTCGTTTGCTGGTGACAGTTTTCTTAATACGCAAACACTCCTGAAAAAAAAAACACAATGGTTTAAGTCTTGATTTTATACAACGATATGGGTTTCCTTCAACAACCATCATGGGCGACAGCCGCCCAGCAGACCAAAGGGCAATCATTCACATGGACCCGCAAAAAAAAGAGACAAAAGAACTAATCAAATGTAGCTGCTGCCCTGGCACGTGATAAATAACGCGAGTTTTGAAAATGCCCGGCAATTTTTCGAGCAGGCGTTGGCGTGATGGCACGCCAGGGCAGTCGGGGATGAAAAGACGCTGGCGAAAGCGACCCCTACCCCGGCCGGGCTGGGCCGGGCCGGGACCTCCCTTGTGTGACTCCGGATCCCTGACGCGGCCATCACCCGCAATGAATACTTCCCCGGGGGGACCGTTTAGCAACGCGCAGGAAATATGCGGCGGAAAAAAATATCCGAGGTTGTTATGAGCCTCTTTTTTTGTGGTCTCTTCTTCATTTTTTTTTTTTTTTCGGCTGGTTGGTTACCACCTTTCGCGGGCTAGGGGCGTTGGATGAAGAAAGGGTAAAAATGTCGCGGGTGAATATGTTCCGCCGTGCCGGCTTTTGACGCACCTGTCTGCTCTCTACCGTCCTACACTGTATGGGACTCTACTGTCCGCCTGCCTGCCTTGCCAGGCTGCCTGCTATCTCGTTCACTCGAGTGATACTCCTGACAGTCGGCAAAGAGTGCCTCAGCGCCGCCACGCCCCTTGCCGTGAATGAGGTGGAATTTGCATTTCGCCTGCGACCCAAATAAGGAGAGGCGTGGCTGTCACCTTGCTGCCCTTGCTTTGCCTTCTGGCCTCGCCGGAAAGTCAACTGGCTCCAGCCTCCGGGAACCTCCGGGAACCTCCGGGAACCTCCGGGAACCTCTGCACTCGGCACGTGGCGAGGTGCGGCAGTGCTGGCAGGACGTGGGCGGGGCACTGGGCGAAAAGGTACCGACGGTACGGAGACACGTGGAGAAAATTCGAGCAACTCACGTGCAGAAATGCTCAGTCGAAACAACTTAATATCTTGTTGCGCCGAGGACCATACAATTTTTAAATATAACCCGTTGGAAATCTAAAATTTTTATTCAATCCCCCCAAGTGCTTTACAAGATGCTGTTGTAAGATTTTATAATCATACTCCTTAGATATTTTAAATTGAATTTTGTTTGATCTCTGGAGACCCCCTCCCCCACCAAATGGGTCTCCAGGAGCATGCAATAAGCCCCATTGACCTGATGATGGTGAGGATGATGCAGGGCAGGATCTTGACGACCACGGCGTGCAGCCAGAGGTTGCTCTCGTAGAGCAGCTGGTTGTGGCGGCGCGCGTGGTCGCTGAGGTCGACGTGGTACGCGGTGCGGCCGTCCTCGCCCGCGCGGCTGCTCCGGCGCACCGAGAAGACGAGCAGCGACGGCGCGCACAGCGGCAGCGGCGCCAGCAGCGAGAGCAGCAGCGCCCACCAGCAGCGCGCGTCCGTGCACAGCTTGGGCGCGTGCGCGGGGAACCTGCGGGCACCACCACCACCACACCGTCAGAGGCCGAGGAGGGGTAGCCAACGACTCCCGCGGATTGATAACAAAACAAATATGCTCCAAACGGCACGCCGACCGGCCGCACGTGGTGAGATTTAATTTTAGATTTACTTTCAGATTCACGTTCGGATCCCCGCGCGCGGGTCGAAGGACATGCTTTCGCCTTCGGGCCGTTCGGGCCTTTGGGGCCGTCGGGGCTGATTTCCCTAACGCTGCGGCGGTTGTGACGAATGGGGGTGGGGGAGGGGCTTAGAGGACACTCGGAGGGTGAATACTTTTTTTCTTTGCGTGTACCCCGTTTGCGAGGAGCGGCAGAGAGCCCTTGGCCTCGCACTGATTGCCCTGGAAGCAGTGGCGGTGGTCGAGGCGCCGAGGCCGGCGCAGCGCTGCGACGCGGGCTGCACCGAACTGGGTGCCCCCTTCCCAACTCGCAGTGCCGGAACAGCGGCCGTCGCGCTATTTCTGCCCCCTGACGCCCGGAAAAGCCCCTCCAACACTAGAGCCGCTGAGACGGCCAGCCAGCCGGTAGCACGCATTTGGTGGGCCAGTACGGCCAAGCACGGAGTGCCATGTTTGGACGGACTGGGAGACAGCCAGACGGAAGAAGCGGGGCGACTGGGACATCCCACACCCCTACCCCGACGACGACGACAGAACAATTGGAAGTCGGTTGACAGGCGTGCATCTGCGCGTGACGTCCCGTAGTACCTCACCTTGGGAGTACTCAGTCCTCCACAACCCAGCTACCCTCCCCATTTCTCTCCTCCTCCCCCCCCTCTCTCTCTCTCTCTCTCTCTCTCTCTCTCTCTCTCTCTCTCTCTCTCTCTCTCTCTCTCTCTCTCCGACCCCCATAAACCAGTACACAAGCAGGCAGTGAGAGGAGTGGGTGTGGCTGGAATCGAAGGGTCTCCGTGAAGTGACCGAAAGACAAATGAAATAATAGGTATATCGTTGTGGTTGTATCCCTGCACGAGACACACACCGCACAGCACTCTTAAAATCTTACACCATATTTTTAGCGCCTGCAGCGCTGTGGAGTTTTTAGGCCGACTCACCCGGCCACACGTTCGGTTGCGACTCACCTGACGGAGATGTACCTCCAGGCGGCCAGGGCGAGCGTGAGGCAGATGGAGGCGGTGTGCAGGAGCTGCGAGTAGTGCATGTGCCAGAGCAGCAGGGTGGCGCCCAGCTCGGAGGAGTGCGCGCGCGGCGGCACCAGGTACAGGAACACGGCGAAGGGCGCGTACTCCACCATGACGGCCACGTCGGCCATGGCCAGCCCCGTCAGCAGCCGGTTGACCGGCGACGTGGCCATGGAGGGCCGCGTCAGCACGGCCAGGTTGATGGCGTTGGACAGGATGCCGAAGGCGCACACCACCAGCGACACGTAGCCGTGGTAGCGCCGGTACGCCATGGAGATGTCGCTCACCTGTCGACCGTCGGCGCCAATGAATGATTCGATGACCAGCCCAGTAAATGAGGCCATTTTCAAAATTGCTTCAAAACAACCATTTTCTTTCCCTCCCTGACTTGAATTTCCCAGTGCCCGCCCACACACTGTGGGGATTAAGACACAGACGCGCCGTGGCTCGCGGCAGACGGTTTCAATTTCTCTGCGGGTCGCCTCGGGGCCCTCGCTCCACGGGGTGATAATTTAGGGGCATTTTGTCGCCGTTGGCGGCGTCGGCGGCGTCGGCGGCGCTCGCCTTGACACGCTTCATTTGCAAACAAACCGCGCGGCGTGGCTGGCGGAGGAGAGGCGCCACGCCGCGCGACACGCCAAGCGCCACGCCAAGGGGAGGCGCTAAGTCAACCAGCAGCGCGCCGGGAAGGAGGCCGCGTGCGAAGATGGCGCGCCGCCACCGCCGCCCACCAACATTCCGAGGGCGTTTTCGTCGCTCTGTCTCTCTCGCACCTATGTGGGGAGCACCATGATAGCGAGAGAGACAGAGCGAAGACTCTCGGAGCCAGTCGGCAGAGCGACGGAGGCGGCAACCGCTGGGGGTGCGTTTTTCGGTTCGCGGACGCCACCCCTCCGGCCGGAGGGGGAGCGGAGAGTGCTCCGGGAAGAATGCAGGCCCTGCCCGGCCGTGCCTTCCGGGACGCCGGCTGCCAAAAACTTCTCACACGCCACGGCGTGGCGAGGCGTGGCAGCGTGGCGTGGCACGACGTCGCGCGACGTGACTGTGGCTCCCGCCAAGAAAAACACAAGACTTCGAGCGCCGCGCTGCGCTGCCCGGCCCCGCGATTGAAATGCAGTCGGCTTATCCGCCCCGCTCGACATAAACATGTCACTTTTCACGAATCGCAGCGCCGCGGCGGCGCAACCAGCCCCGCCCTGGATGCGCCGACCTTGCCCCACAAGGCCGCCATGCACGAGTGTCGCCGTCGCCGTCATCGGGGTGCTCGTTGGCCCGCCCCGCCCCGCCTCCAGGGGCCCTCGGCAGCCATCCTTCATGCGCGGGTTGGCCGCCCAGCGCGCTGGCCTGGCCTGGCCCAGGCGACGGGGTGCGCGTCCCCTACCCGTCCCCAAGGGCGGCGGCAATGTCATTGCGCATCCGCGGCACCCGCGTGGCGAACCTATAAAACAGTGCGCCGCGACCATTTTCTGGCCCAGTAAGTGCCGCGTTGCGTGTTATTGGTCGGCCACAAATGGCGGTTTCATCGGGTACCACCAGTCGACGGGGGTAAATAACTGTCCGAAATTACTTCTGTCCAAACCAACGAACATTTCCAATGTTCCAGATCTTCCTTGTTTCGAAGCGAAACAGACCGAGGGACGGGGGTTCGCTCGCCGGGCCGGGCGCCCCGCTGCGTCTGAAGCCACACGCCGTAAGCCCCTCTCCATTTCTTTGGAAGGATGTTCGTCCCTCGCGGAGGCGCCAATCGTTTTATTAATTTGTCGGCGAGAGGGGCATCAGAGATCGTTGAAGTGTGGCCTCGTTATTTGTCTGTGACGGCCTGTGACGGTCTGTGACCCCGAAGCAGGGCCAGCAGGGCCTCCACCCCGACGTCCCCTTCCCACCAAGCCTATCAAGTTACGCGTCGTCCGCGTTTTCGTCCTTCGTCCATGCTGCGCCGTTCCGAGGTCCAACTGCGGCGATATGCCGCTGGAGATACACAGCTGAATGGCAGAGGTTGGCAACCTTGCGGGCCAGTGAACTCGGACAGGGTGGCAAACACTGCGCCTGTCGTCCACGTCGTCCAACGCGACGCGCTGGACTGGCGGGACGCACTCCACGCTGGCGTCCGGCAAACAGGCGAACTGATGTATTTCCGACGACGGGTGTCGCTTTTCGCGGCGAAGACCGTTGTTGTGGCTATGGCGATCGCGGCGTATCTTTCGCAGTGTCCCCCTCTGCGCTGAAAACTCAGGTGAAAACTCTACGCTGAAAACTCAAACTCACCCCTCGGGTTCGCCCCGTACTCACCGCGGCCGGGCAGTAGCAGTCCGCCATCTCGGCCTGCGCGCTCAGGTTGAGCGCCAGCTGCAGGTCGTCCATGGTCAGGTTGAAGTGGCTCAGGTTGAGCAGCCGGAAGTCGTCGGGCTCCATCGCCGCGCCGGCCATCGCGGCCTGGGCCGCGGGCAGGGTCGCGGGCTGGGTCTCCCACTGGGTCACCGACTCGGTCGCGGACCTGCCAACACGGAGAGTGGCACGTTTGGTCGCCGCTTTCAAGCCGCCCCTTTTGTTCGCCGCCTGAATGGGCCATGGGCGCCGTGGGCGGGGACGCCATGGGCCGCGCCGCGCCGCGATACCCAGGATCATTCGACCCCTTACACTGAGGGCGTTCACATTCTGCGTAACACCGCCACTCGGCAAACTCAACTTTGCGTGCCGGGCAAACCCCAGCAGGAGTATGAAGGGGACCCAAAGTGCCGAGTGTAACCGCACAGTAGTATAGATAGCCCATTCGGACAGGCCGCCATCTTGGTAGCCCATACGCACAGCAGCAGAGGTGAGTACTGTACTTTCTTCACTGGTTAAACGAAGGCGTAAGTTAATGTTTTGTTCCAAACTTGGTACACTGAGTGCAGGTTTGGATCGGAAATGAAAGAGTCACCGGGCTTCATAAGGACTTTGTCGTTTTGGCCATTTGAACCCTTTTGAAGCTCCATGCCTTTTTCATTTCCCTACACCAAATGACATCTGTTGACAATTTTTATTTGTTTTTCTTGTCGAGGCGGATCCATTTCTGTGAAGTTATGCCGATTTGGGCAGCTTTGAAAATTCGCTCAGGCCCCTAGGCAAAATAAAACCGAGCCATCCCCTTGGATTTCAAGGCAGCACTTTTACCGTGCCTCAGCCGGCCTGCCTAATGAACGGATGAGCAAGTCAGCTCAAAACTTTTGTCTGGTCGAGGGGGAGGGCCCCTCGAGGGGGTGGACGGGGGTTAAAGGGGGTCGTTAGACGCGAGTAAGTGAATACAGAGAGGCAGCCTGCGGGGCGGCGCGACACTCAAATGGAACTGGGCTGGGCGTTCTCCAACAACAAAAGGTCTCAGCGCCACGCGGGCTGAAGGCTGATTTTGATCAGCGTTTCGTCGCCCGGCCGGCCGCCGCTCTGCTGTCTCTCTCGCGCCCCCATGGCTCAGTGGCTTTGGCTGCCTCCACCGGCCTTCCGGGCCACTGTGAGCCGGCCACCCTCTGCGTCGGAACTGGGTACGGCCAGAACAGTTTCCGGCGGCCGGAAAGACCTGGTACCGGAAGTTAGTTGCAAAAAAGAAGAAGAAGAGTAACCCAATCCGTGAAATGGTATCCAGGGTCCAGAGTTTTCAAAGAAGCCTAGCGTCGAGAAGCGACGCTCCGCCAGTTTGCGAGGAAATCATTATAATTTGTCGGAGCGCTGAAGACGGCGAAGCGAATTCCTTGTCCGGCCGGACACGGCGTTCCCTGGAAACTCACGCAGATATAAATGGCATCAGGAATTTCTCATCACTTTGGCAGAGGGCAAGTGAAAACCTGATGCACTGAACTCCCTTCCACCCCAACCGTCGACAGCAGCGGCCGTTCTCAAATTTAAAATTGATGAATGCAAGAATTTTTTTTTTAAACTGCTCGGGAACCTCAACAAATATGATTCTGTGCTCAGCTATATTTTTCTCCCCGGTCTGCGGTTTTTGGACCCTTCCTCTCCTCGAAACAGTAATTACCCCGCAATATTTCTCCCGCAGAAAAACGGCTCCGCTCCGCTTGGCTCCGCTTGGCTCAGCTTTGCTCGACGGAAAGCAATCCGCGGCAATCCGAGAAATAAGCGGCGCGGCGCCACAAAGAACCGCCACGGCGCGCACACTGTGCGCACCCCCCCGCGGTTATCATTCGCGGGCAAGCGACGTCGCGGCGCCTCGACTCAAGTAATCGTTTTCCCGCTATTTGTCGCGTGGACGCCCCCCGGTCCGACGCACGCGACTTGGGAGGAGGTTCGGTAGGGGAGAGGGGATGGGGGGACATACCTAATTAAACGAAATGGGAGGAACCCCCAAGCCCCTTAAAACTTCCCACACCACTGCCGCCTCCCTTCCCGGAATCCCCTTTTTCCCTTAGGTTCCTCCCCGCGCTGCCCCCCACCCCCACCCCACCCCGCCGCTCCGTAAATGAGAGCAAAATAATGACGAGGGCTAATCGCGATAATGCTAGAAGAAGGCGGTCCTTCCCGCCTCCCCCTGCAGACTGATTCCGAGAGTCGTTTTCGTCGCTCTCTCTCTCGCATTCATGGGGCGTTCTCATGGGTGCGAGAGAGACAGAGCGACGAAAACGACTCTGGGAATCGGTCTGCTGGCACGCTGCACTTGCCGCCAAGGACGGCGACTGCGAGGACCACCGCCACGCCCCCAGAGGCGCACACACGCCGCTCCGCGCGCCCCGCCGCCACTGGCGAGCAGCGGACGGACAAATCAAATTAAGTCCGGCCTGCAGACTGGTTCCGAGAGGCGTTTCCGTCGCGCTGTCTCTCTCGCACTCATGGGGCGTCCCGTATGGGTGCGGGAGAGACGGCGACGAAAGCGTCTCTTGGAATCAGTTTGTTGGTCCGCGCGTCGCGCTGTGGGAGTCGCGCGTCGACGCGCATGGCTCTAATCCGGTTGCGTTGGGCCCCGCCCCGCCCCGCCCCGCCCCGCCCCGCCCGCCCGCCCCGCCCCGCCCCGCCCCGCCCCGCCGCCCGCCCCGCCCGCCCCGCCCCGCCCGCCCGCCCGCCCCGCCCCCCGCCCCGACCTGCCAGCTGCAGCCCATTGACGCCGCCGCCCTAGAGGGGCGTGACAAGGCCGCGAACTGCAAACTACTTGGAGCCGCCGTTCCGATCTGTTGCGGTCATCGGGTTGCGCTGCCTCGGTTTCCGCCCAAACTATCCTGCAGGACTGTTTTCATCAATCAGTCACAGAAACTACGTTCGTGGAACCGGCTCGTGAGTTTGACTCAGTTGCTGACTGAATTAAGGCGGACGCCTTGGACACTCACCACGTCGGGCGTCCTCAAGGTCAAACCAAGGTCAAATCGTTAAACTGCTCGGTCAATCCCGAAATCCTGCCGCCGTAGTACGAGGCCAGGGTCCATCCCTGCGAGGCGGCCACCGATCAAGGCGGCAGCGCGACATCCTCGCATAATGACCCATTCCAGGACATGCTCTCATCAGCACAAAGCCCGGGTGCGTGCCATTCGCTGAGCCGCGACGCCTGCACGCTCCCACTCCTCCTCAGCACTCCAAGTCACAACACAGCCGGTCAAGCGTCCCATAATCGCTTGCGCCTGTACGACGCCGCCTCCGCCCGCAGGCGGCGCCGTCATCTCTGACCATTCTCATGGCACGTCCGTTTGCGCAGCAGGGCACCCAGAGCACCCAAGCGTCCCACTCCGACACTCCGGCACTCCCGGCACTCCACAGGCGCCGCCTCCGCCCGCAGAGAACGACGCCGTCAGAGGTCATCCGGTCACTCTCAGTCCTCCCGTCACTCACAGGCCCGTCACTCCACGAGTCACTCCACAGGTCACTCCACGAGTCACTCCACCAGAGTCACTCCACGAGTCACTCCACAGGTCACTCCACGAGTCACTCCACCAAGTCACTCCACGAGTCACTCCACGAGTCACTCCACGAGTCACTCCACCAGAGTCACTCCACGAGTCACTCCACCAAGTCACTCCACGAGTCACTCCACCAGTCACTCCACGAGTCACTCCACTAAGTCGAAGAAGGGGTAGACCGAGCCGTGCGTGGCATTGACACACGCAGAAAGAAAACAGCAGGCGAAAAACAGAGAAGGAAAAGTGAGAGAGAGCGAGGGAGAGCAGGGAAATGACACTTGCAGCTTGATGACGTCATTTCCAGGATATACTTTCCCCCGCCTCGAATAAGGAGGGGGACGGGGCGGCCACTCCAAGGCGGTGCCGGCCAGCAGTGCGGGGGTAACGCGCCCTCATGTGGGCAATCCCTCTCCATTCCTTCGCCCTTTATTACCAGCGTGTTCCTAACGGAGCGAGCCTGCTTCGCCGCATACCACAGCATACACCAATTTTAAAACTATTTTTTATTTTCTTTCTCTTCTTTAGACGTTTGGAATGAGGCCGCACTTTGGCATGGCGTCCCGGATGACCCAGAAGCCGAAACGGGGGGGCGTATTATTCCAGGGGTGTGGAAGCGCTGCCTCCAGCCGCCTCCAGGCCTTCCAGACGCCTCGTGACGATGGCAACCCTTTTTGCAGTGCTTTTCCCTCTCTCACCTCACCTCTGCGCCTCCAAACGCGGAAAACACTAGGGTGAGGTTTTCACTGACTTTAGCCACATCTGCTGTACTGTTTCCGCGCCATCGCGGCGCGCCACGCGCTTCCCCGCAATTCAGGGTAATTAAAAGTGTCGCCAACAAAGGACGCATTAAACTCGGCAACTTTGAGAAAGGCCTGCTTTTCGTAATGACGAGAAAGCGGCGGCGGCGGCTAGGCTTTTCTGTTTTTGTTTCTGTTTCGGTTTTCGTTTTTGTTTTTGCTTGAGTGCGCGGTGTTTGGCCACTGGAGTCGGCGAGTCTGCCGCTAACGGGCCCGGCGTGCCGTCGGCGTGAGCGTGACAGGCCGCCAGAACTCGCCCCGATTCGCTCACCAGCGCTCACCAGCGCTCACCAGCGTTCACCAGAGCGGCCGAGAGCGGCGCACCCAAAGTCTAAATATCTCACATCACGCAACACGGGATTCCGCGTGGAACGGGCCTGGAATCTGGCGTCCATCTCGTGTGGTTCCGGGAAGGGATTTCGTAATGTGGTGGAGGGACGCGGTGTACGGCCAAAGCGCGAATTCCTGTCAAAATGTGCGCGATAACGTACAAATCGCGCGCTGTCGTGTGAGCTCCTCTGAAGCTCGAAACGCGTCCGGGATTTTTGACCACCTCCACCGGTCTTCTGGCCCACTGTGGACCGGCTACCCCGGCGCACCGGACACCGACAGTGCGATTGGCTAAATTGTGGGTCCGGGCCGCCCGACGACCCCGGCAGCTCGCTCTTGTCGTTCCTCCATATCAGGCGGCAGGGTGCGGAATACGGTGCCGGGTCCCGGTTCCGGGTGCCAGGCGCTGCCAGCAGGGGCCGCCGGGTCGCACCGCAGCGCCCCCAAGCACCCCTAAAGCCTGGAGTGGATCCCCGGTGCCACGCCAAGCCACGCCACGCCAAGCTTGGCATCCAAAGCGGATTACTATGCATTTTGCCGCCTTTGCGCGCTTCCTGCAGAAACGCTTTTTGCACTTTTCCTGCACTTTGGCGTTCCCCGCCCCGCGCCGCAAATCCACACAACACAACGAGGCACGTTTTCCGCTTTGCCCCCCAATCCGCTTGCACCGCGACGGCGGCGCGGGACGGCGCGGCCGTGATCCACGGTAAACTCAGGCAGATTGAACCCCGGGCACGGACCCGCAGTGGAGACTGATTCCGGGACTCGTGTTCGCCGCTCTGTCTCCCTCGCACTCATGGGGAGTCTCGTAGGGGTGCGAGAGGGACAGAGCGACGACAAACGACTCTCGGAATCAGTCTGCAGTGGTGGCGCCGCGCGCTGCGCTCGCAAAGCCGAACCGTTACTTTCCCTTTGCGACACCAGTCTTGCAGCCGAAGTGAAGGGCGAGCGGTCAGAGGGGAGTGAGGGGGAGGGGGAAGGGAGGGGAGGGGAGGGGAGGGGGAGGGAGGGAGGGGAGGGAGAGGGGAGCGCGCGCAACGCTCGGCCGGCCAATGATGCGCGAGAGAAATATGAGTGTTATTTCTTTGCCGCTGCTCGGCTCGGCCGGTCGGCGGGGCGGAACGACGGTGGCGGTGGCGGCGGCGCGTGGGGAAGATACAAACTTCCTTTTGCTTTCCGCACACGGCCCGTTCTTTATTAATACAAGTTGGAGATAAACGAAGTCGTACGGCGGCAGAGCAACAGTGGGGCGGAAGCCCGCTGCCAGGGGCGCGACACTGAAAGCCCAAAGCTCTCTCTCTCCTTCTCTCTCTCTCTCTCTCTCTCTCTCTCTCTCTCTCTCTCTCTCTCTCTCTCTCTCTCTCTCTCTCTCTCTCTCTCTCTCTCTCTCGCTGCAGACCTGTAGCGCCCGCAGAAGGGAGGATAGGCAAGCCCGCCCGGCGCCCGTGCCCACCGCGTTGCCTACCCCGAGTCTCGCAGGCGCTCCCACTGCTGCCGGGTGATTCAGGAGGAGCAGTGCCGTCACTCTGTCTCTGTCGCACTCATGGGGCTCTCTCTAAGCGTGCAAGAGAGATAGAGCGACAAACGGATCTCCACGGTGCTCTATATCCACGATGTCACGATCTCCAGTATTTATTATAGATGGTCATTCCAACAAGGTAGGATTGTTGCACGGAGTGACATTTCATTTTATCTACTTTTCTTATACAATAGTTGCTGGTGTTCGTGTAGTGAAAGGCCGACGATGCTCTCGAAAGCGAAACGCTGGACACTGGTCTGCTTTCTCGGCACCGGAAGTAGCAAAAAGCAACGAAAAAGTGAACTAGAAAATGACAGATCCACGAGCGAACGCGGGGCGGACGGACAACCGGATACAGATCTATCCATTTTCTGGCTCGCACTTCTTTGTTCTTCTCACTTCCGGTGCAGAAGGCTGGTTTTTACGGTGCCCTTGCCTTGCACGATTGGGATGAAGGAGGGCGAAGCGAAGACGGTGCAGCGCGGGCAAAAGTACGGAGTACCTAGTGGCGCGCGCGCGCACACACACACACACCACAAACGGCGCAGGCAGGTGCCCCCACACAACACCAGCACACTGGCGCGCGCGCATTCAAGTAAGTGTCGTCCGGGGGAAAGGAGAGTCTCTGGAGAAATACGCGTCGGCATACAGTGGCGGCGCTGAGCAGCGCAGAGTTACTGTCGGCCAGCGAATGGTGTGTGTAGGGAAGGAACAGGGAGCGGTGGCGCACAGTGGATTTGCCAGAAGACCGGTGAAATAAATATTGTTTTATTTTTAAAATTAAATAACTAAGATTACACGGCAGACTAAAATAAATAGTGTGACATTGACTTATAATGAAAATTAATACAGTCGGTTGACGAGAGGATATAATTTGATGTCCGTGTAGTCCTTCCGTCCGTATCGTTCCGTCTCTTGTCCGTCTCGTGTCTGTCTATGAGTCAGTTGCCCGCTCCGGCCGTCCGTCCGTCCTTCAGTCCATTCGTCTGTCTGTCTGCCTGTCTGTCTGTCCGTCCGTCCGTCTGCAGTGGAATGTTGGTCGTGGCATTGTCCAGTCGGGTCAGGTCGCAGACGTGTCGGCTCCGATGCGGTCAGTTTGCAAGTCGTGGGGGGCGCAGGCCCAGGCCCAAGGGGGCGAGGCGAGGCGTGGCGAGGCGTGGCGAGGCGGCGCTGGCGCTTGGCTGCGGCGGCCGGCCGCCAGTCGGGGCCTGTTTGCGGCGTCGTCAAGTCTGGGAGTTGAGTTCCCCGCCCGGTCCGGTGTCGGCCCGGCGCGCCGCAGCCTCATTCCGAGAGTCGTTTCCGTCGCTCCGTCTCTCTCGCACTCACGGGGCGTCCCGTTGAGGTGCGAGAGAGACAGAGCGATGTGTCTACAGCGTCCCATGAGACGCGGCCCCGCCCCGTACAATCACATCGGCCGCTATGGGTATTGGCGATGCTGCGACGTCCAAGTCTGCGGCGCTCCGCCCGTTCCGTCCGCCCCGTCGGCCCCGTCCGCCGAGGGAGAGGAAGAGGGCGAGGGCGTCGACTCCCAGGAGGCCGTGCTGGCCACGTTGCTGGCCGAGTCCGCCCGGCCGCGTGTGCCGGCCGCGGGCCGGTGCTTGGCCGCACCGTGCTGGCCGTGCTGCTGGCCCCACGTCCCCAGGGTGAGGCTCAAAACGCTGTCGCCGCCGCCGGGGGCCGTGGAGCCCTGGTGGGGCGTGGGCTGGTGGGACGGGGACTGGTGGGGGCCCCGCATGCCCACCACGCCTCCCAGCCAGCCGCCGGACTCTGCAACGCAAGCCTCAGGTTGTAGTGCCCGCGCCCAGGTGAGCCCGCGGGAGCAAAAACACTGCGCGGGAAAGACAGCGGATGTTTAAATTTCGGGTCGTCGACGGGCACCTCGATGGTACCCCCGACGGGTCGGTCCTCTATGAAGAAGACCTCGTCGACAATGAAGAGCTCGTCAACGGGAACCTCGTCGACGGGGACCTCATCGACGGGGACCTCGACAAAGACGACCTCGACGAAGAAGACCTCGTCGACGCACAGTGGTTCAGAAACGGAAAATGCTGTGCAAAAGTCCTTTTTTCAACTTTGCGATTTGTCGAAAACGACTTTGCAATGGGTAAGAGGGATGTCAGGAGGGCCCAAAGCCGAGTTTGTTTTGCACTGGTACCCCACGCACTCGCCAGGACAGGCGAGCCCGTTTCCGCTTCGGCGCTACGCACGCGAAGCGAGTGGAGCGGGCGAAGTGTTCCGCTCTTTTGGCGGCCGCTCCTTGACGAACATGACAGGCTGGTTAAAATCTAAACATTCAGCTAGGTAGTCCAAACTCTCCTCTTTTCAACAGTGCCTTCAGATTTGCGCTCACTCATTCCGTTCCGTGTTAAATCCCTTTCTTTTGTGTCAATGCAAATCACTGTTTTTTCGACAACTTTTCATAAAGATTTGCCTGTAACTTTTGTGGAACCTGTTGGAACCTGGAGATCTTGGGCTCATATTAAAGCTAATCATGTCAGCTTTCGAGCGCACTTCACCGTTTTTGCATATACCTGCATATCCGGCCTCAAAACGCGCCGATAGCCGACATTAAATGGATAATAGTAACTGATGTCTCTTTTAGTAATATCTTAAACCTTTTCCAAAAATAATGAAAGACAAGGTGATGCACAAATACACGTTATACCTGTATGAAAGGGGCACGTCCACGATTTGAAATAAAATCAAAAATAAATTCAGCGACCCCAAAAAACGTAGAAGCAAAGGAATAAACACAGCGTTCAAAACTGAAATTAAAACTAAGTAACGCTAGTAATTAAACGTTAGGCTATGGTCCAAAGTAACATCAGGGATAGATTCAGCGACCCCGAAAATGTACAAGTACAGTACACATACAGTCCCCCCCCCCAAAAAAAAATAAAATAAAATAAAAAAGTAACGCTAGTGACTAAGCGTTACGTCAATGGTTCAAAATAACTTCAGGAATGAATTCGGCGACCCCAAAAACCCCCAGGATGAAGGTTTCACACCAATATCTTATACGGCCTGCAACCAATCTCTTTTGCACAGCTTTTTCTGTTTCTGAACCACTGTGCGACGGGGACCTCGACGACGAAGACCACGCCGAGGCCCGGGTTCGCGTTGCCTCACCGTCCGAGTCCGGCGAGGTTGACGGCGCGCCGAGGCGCGTGGCGCCGCTCCGGGCGAAGTCCGTCACGTCCACGGTGGTGGTGGCCGGAGCCTGGATGGTCTGGATCTGGTCCGGCTGTGGGAAAAGGCAAAGCAGGCTGTGAAACGGGACACGAACTGGAGAGGCGGGGTCAAGTGATTCACAAATCAAGTCACAAGTTGCAAAGCAAGGATATCGTACACAAAATTTTTGAAACAAGAAAATAAGACAGTCGATATGTTGCGACTGACTACGAAACAACGTGCATAAACATGAACTGTCCACCAGCTGACCCTGAGCGTGGCGTGGACCGGCCGAGGCCGAGGAGACCCACCTGCACGAGGCTGCGCACGTAGCCGGGGTATCCGGCCGAGGGGTAGGCGGGGTCGTGGTGCAGCACGGCGGAGTGCGTGTGGCCGTGCGTGATGACGGGCCTGGCGATGATCTCGTAGTTGTCGTTGCCGTCGCCGTTGTTGCAGCCGTTGTTGTCACTGCGGCGGCAGCGGCGCGGCGGCCCGCGGAACGCCGACATGAGGGACATGCCGAGCGCCAGCATGGCGGACATGAGCGCCTTGCCGGACATGGCGGCCAGCGCGCCCAGCCCGATGGTGAGCAGTGTGCCGCCCATGATGAGCCCCGCGCCCAGCATCGGCCAGGCGTCGTTCTTCTTGCGCCGGCCTGCAGCAACCACTTGGGTGCGAGGGGGGCAAGGGGGGCACAGTGAGCCAGAAGACCGGTGGCGGCGGCAAAAACTCTAAACGCGTTTTGAGCTCCAGAGTCGCTAGGTGGGACTCGAAGCGAACGTGTGACCCCACCAATGGATTTCTTTCCGAACGGGGAATCCATTGCTGGGGTCACACGTTCGGTTCGAGTCCTGTTTAGTTACTCCGGAGCTCAAAACGAGTCTGGTAGAATTTTGGCCGCCTCCACCGGTCTTCTGGCAAATCCACTGTGCAGAGCGAAGACGAACGCTGTTTGAGGAACAATCGCTCTCCTCGCTAACACCATTATTAACGGCTGGCAAGCGGAACGGGTGAGTCGCGATCCATTCTTACAGCTTACAACCAATACCTTCCCCCCTTTCTCCCCCTCCCCTTTCTCCCTCTCCCCCTCTCCTTCCTTCCTTCCGCCTCGCGCGGAGAGACAGCGCCGCGCCGCGCGTGGCAACGCAGCGAGCGAGACAGGGAGCAAAAGTTTTCGGGAGGAGGCGCGTTACAGCGTTACATGGAATAACTCGATTGCGGGAGAGCAACAATGCCGATCCTCCCTCCCCTTCCCCTCCTTCAGCTCCAGCCAGCATCAAGGCCCCCCCTTCAGCCAGCCCCGCCGCCCACGCCGCATGCAATATGGATCAGAAGCGATCCATCACGGCGGGCATAACTCTAATGACCCCCTCTTTCCGAACCGCGGTGGTTTTTAGGTGGTTGTTTTTTTTTTCGTTTACTTCTCCTTGGGGCCGCAACAACGGTTTCGTTTGTTTACCGATCTCACCTGCAGGTGGTCCGGCGCCCTCGGCGAAGTCCCGCAGCTCGTCGCCGATGCTGCGGATGAGGCGGTGCGCCGCCTTGCGGATGAGGCCCGCCAGGTCGCGGACGGGCCGGCCTCTGCCGCCCTGCCACGGCCCCGGCCACGGCCCCGGCCACGACCGGAGACGCGCCGCCTCCGCCGCGGCCTCCACGGCCTCGGGCCCCGCCAGCGGAGCCAGCGCCTGCGGTGACAGATGGCCGCGAAGAATGAAGGCTTTCATCGAGGAGGGTTCCATTGGGCGGCCGAGCCGAGGCCAAGCCGAAGCCAAGCCCGGGCCGAGCCCCCCAAAGGACGGGCCGAAGACCCTGCAGGCTGATTCCGGGAGCCGTCTTCGTCACTCTGTCTCTCTCGCACTCACGGGACGTGCCGCATAGGTGCGAGAGAGACAGAGCGACGAAAGAGGCTCTCGGAGTCAGTCTGCAGCGAGCCCCTAGCCGAGGCCTAAAAGCTGCCTTGGCCGCCCAGCTGTGGCTGCACCATATTGGAGCGGGGGCCACGTCAGCCGCGTCAGCAAATACGCCCAAGGATTCACGCGGGTCCTGCCTTGCCGCGCACACCCAAAATCAACGATGCTGAGGAAAGTGAAAACTCTTGACGCGCGGCGTGGCCTTTGCATTCAGGAAACGCCACAGGGCGCCGCAATGTTTGCGGATTGCGCAATCCATGAAACGATAGTGCAGGCGGCTTCGGATTTCGGTGAGCCACGGCAAGGCTGGCCGGATGTTCACCACGTCGACCGCGGTGTGGCTCACCTGATGGTTCCGGCTGGTGGTGGTGGTGGTCGCCCCGCTGGCCGTCGGCGACTCCATGACGGCGATGGGGCCCGCGGACAGCGTCACGGAGATGGACTCGTTGGAGGCGGCGGGGGCGGCGGCGGCCCGGGGCGCGGTGAGCACGGCGAGCAGCGCGGCGAGCGGCCACCACGACATGACGAACGTCGCCGAGTCAAACGAGCGCCATGTCAGCCGAGGCTTCGGGGCTTCGAGGTGTCACCCGGGAGGAGGGTCGCCGACGACTACCGCGAAGGCGGCGCGCCACTCGCCTTTAACAGTGCGGTGACGACTCTTCCTCTCGGCAAAGGAGGGCCCTTTTTGTTGTTGTTGTTGGTTTTGCTGGGATTTTTTTTTCCGCGCGCGCCTCAAATGGAGCATCAAGCGGCGGCGCAGCTTCGCGGCGTCTCGGCCGCCGGATCGGCCTGGGTGGGGCAGGGCAGGGCAGGGCTGAGTCATCCTCCGGGCCCCACGGCCCCGCGCAGTGGGCCAGAAGACCGGAGGACGCGGTCAAAGTTCTAGACGCGTGCAGAGCTCCAGAGTCGCTAAACACGACTCGAACCGAACGTGTCGACCCCACCGATAGATTGCCCTTTCGGGCTGTGTGCTTGATGGAAGGCCAAAGTTTTACCAGAGTACAGCAGTCCGTAGGTTCAGTTTGCGTCACAAATCTTGACGAATGATAAAAATGATAAAACTCCGAACACTTTTGACAGTGCAGTGGGCTCTCGCGAAATGGTCCAGCGTTAAAGGGCCTCGCGCCCTGCAGCGTCCCAATCAGACTGTCTCCGCATGGATTCGGGCCAATGGCGTCGCCGCAAAAAAGCGCGCTGCGTCACCGCGGCGCCCCGCCAGTGTGCCACGGCGGTGCCATGGCGGTGCCTTTCCCTGCCCGCTCAACGCTCCATGGCTTCCCAGCAGACCGATTCCGAGAGTGGCTTTCGTCGCTCTGTCTCTCTCGCACCTGCACGGGGCGCGCCATGAGTGCGAGAGAGACAGAGCGACAGAGGGCCATCACCGCGTCCGCGCGCTCGCAGTGTGCGCGACCTGTGCCACACTGTACACCACAGGGTGCCGCGAAAGCCGCGGCGCGCTGGGTGGGCTAATAACCCACGCGACATCACAGGGACGGCGACACCGGATACGGACGCCACCTGCCCTCCCGACCCACACTCCGGCCTGCGCCGCTTCCTGCAATAAGATACACGTCTGGATGGCGGCAGGGCAAAGCCACTTACCTGAGTGGGAAGGAAACGCTTTGTCTGCCCGTCTCTCTCGCACTCGTGGGGCGTCCCGTGGGAGTGCGAGAGAGACAGAGCGATGAAAACGACTCATGGAATCTGTCTTCGGCCCGCCCCGCAAAGTGGGCCTGAACCGATCATGTGACCCCACCAATGGGTTGCTCTCCGAACGAGGAATCCATTGGTGGGGTCACACGTTCGGTTCGAGCCCTGCTTGGCGACTCTGGAGCTCAAAACGCGTCCAGAGTTTTGGCCTCCGCCGCCGGTCTGCTGGCCCACTGTGCGCCCCGCCCCGCCCCGCCTGCAACGTGTTTGGCCGAGCCGAGCGGATTATTCGGCGCCTGCACAGTGTAACGACACCCGTTGTTTCGCGCCGAATGTTTAATTCCGCGTAACGGCTGCTCTTGTTTTTCCATTGGCGGGGCCACCTCGCGCTCAAATGAGATGGCGGCCGGGCTGCGTCCGAGAGGCCGACCTCGCTCCGCACTCGGCGTGCGTCAGAGAGAGAGAGAGAGAGAGAGAGAGAGAGAGAGAGAGAGAGAGAGAGAGAGAGAGAGAGAAGGTTCGGCCCCAGGGTCCATTTGGCAGCCGTCGGCAGCCCCAGGGCAGCCCCGGGGGCCGATGGGCGGGCTGTGGCGGGCTGCTTGCCGGCGGCCCAAACGAGCCAGACCATGCATTCCGGCCAGCAGCCCCCGCAGCCCCATCGCCCCTTGATTCCGAAGGATCGTTCCGTCGCTCTGTCTCTCTCGCACTCGCGGGTCGTCCCGCAGTGCCCGTGGCGGTGCGAGAGAGACAGAGCGATCTCTTGCGGCAGCAGCCCGTGTGCCCTGCACCGGCTGTCCGTGTCCGCCTTGCGATTCTCGGCCATTCCGAGATGACGTCGACCCGCCCGCCGAGGGGCACCGAGGGGCCAGCCGACTGATGCCCCTCGGCTCGTCCCCTGGGGGCCCCCACGGCGAGGGGCCGGCAGGGGACACCCGGCCAGTCCGGCCACCGGGGGCCAGCCCGGGGCCAGCCCGGGGCCAGCCCGGGCCCCAAGCCCGGAGAGGGGCACTCGAGGCGTTTCCGAGAACTCGTTTCCGTCATTAAAAAGAAGCGCATCTGCGGCCTGCCGTTCGAGAAGCAAAGTTTATTGGTTTTTGTCTGGCGGTGTTCGTTCGTTCGTGATTTCTTCCCGATACCTCAGTGTTCGCCTTTTTTTTACGTTTCCGAGGCTCCAGTTTCAATTTGCCTCATCAATACTGACTTTGCCTGCCTTCCTTAGGCGTCACCATGCTCGAATAACGTGTGTAAAAACAAAGGTTAAATTTGTTTAAAAGTTGTTTTAAGCTGTTTGAAACCAGCCACACGCACTTTTCGAACAAATTATAATTTCACCGATTGCCGACTCGACATCGACATCGGCTTTCCTGCTTATGGCTGTCCATGTCCGTTCGTGTCCATGGCCGCCTCATGGTGCAGCGGCACCCGCGTGTACCCGCGGCCACACAGTGATGCCGTAATGCCTTTCATGGACAGCAACGCTAATCTGAGCCACCCGCAACCTGGTCGCGGTGCGGCCTGGTGGGTGGGTGTCCGAAATTAGGGGAGAGGCGCGGAGAGAGGGTGAGGGGGAGAGAGAGGGGCAGAGGGACAGGGGAGGGAGGGGGGGAGGGGGGGGAGGGGGGGCACGCTGGGCAGCGACATGCTACGAATCGCTCCGAGCGGCCAGGCCGTCCACCCTTGGAGGGAGAGAGGCGGGACACAGGCCCACCAATTTATTACTCCGTGTTGTGCTACAGGCAGCGGTACGCCACGGTGACCCACACACTCGAAAAAGAATGGTCACATCTGTCTCACTTGGCCTGTCTGTCCGTCGGTCCGTCGGTGTTTCTCGTGCTCGTCGACGCGCCACTGGCGTCGCCCTCGTATTGCGAGCGCCAATGACTGCCCCTCGAATCGAAATCGCACAAGGCTAATCAGAGAGGAAGAGGATGAGCCCCTTCTCTCTCTCTCTCTCTCTCTCTCTCTCTCTCTCTCTCTCTCTCTCTCTCTCTCTCTCTCTCTCTCTCTCTCTCTCTCTCTCTCTCTCTCTCTCTCTCTCTCCGATCCCATGCCGTGCTACGCGAGGC